GGCCACCACTTCAAAATAGCCTAAAAATGTCCTAACATGACCTGGTGTGCTTTCTAGGTCATTTTGAAGTGGTGGCCGAACTTTTGCAAATTTTGGTTTTCTAGGCTACCACTACAAAATGGCCTAAAAAACCAAAAAAAGTGCTTTCTTTGAAATTCGCAGATTTTGGAAATTCCAAAATTTCAACAAATCGGTGTGTCCCGAAATCCCGATGTCCCCCAATTCCCATGCTTACCCCTTGATGTGCATGCACACTCGCGTATTTGACGACGCCACGATATAGTATCGCATTCTTGCGCATCTGCTCTTCCGCCTCATTGTTCTTATTGCCAAATCTGAAAAATTTTAGATTTTTGAAATTTTTTCAAAAATCTGAAAATTTTGAAATTTTGAGAAAAACAATTTTTCAGCCAAAAAAAATGTTTTAATCTGAAAATTTTGAAATTTTGAGAAAAAAATGTTTTTTGCTCAGAATTTTAAATTTCCCGCTTTTTTTGAAATTCATCTAAATTTACTCCCAAAAAGTTCCAAAAAATTCTTTCAGTGATGTCCAAAAGCCCGACAAAACCCCCACGGCCTCCTCCACGGACGCGAACCGCCGCCTCACAAGGCCGACCGTCGGCCCAAAAGCCCGCGGCGGCTCGAAACTCGATGGCCAGGACCTCGAAATCCCAAGAAAGCCTGCCAAGTCCAGAGCCTCCTTCCAGGCCGAATCGGGCCGCTGCGGCCGCTGAAAGCCGGTCTAGAAGCCCTAGAAGATCCGTCTCAGCAAGAGAATCAAAGCCTAGAAGTTGTCGAGCCGATGGCAATAAGCCTCCGATCTTCCGATCTCCCGCCGCCTCCGTATCAGTCACAGCGACGCCAAGAATGTCCCTCGAGGAGCCAGAAGAGGTTCCGAAAGGCCGGAAATCTCGATCCAAGAAAGACTTGTCCGTGTCTAGGCCGTCATACATAGCTAGAAGTCTAGCGGATGGTTCTGTAGACACCACAGAAGTCACTTTGCATAGTCCAGGACCCGTGAAGTTCTCGTCTAGCTGGATTCCGACGGAAGCCGTGCGAGCCATCAGTCTCACCGGCTCGAATAGCCCGCAAATCGAGAGGGTGAAGAGCCCGGAAGGTCCTCCAGATCCTCCACCTATGGAATCTGAACGAGTCCGAAGCTCTCCAGGTGATCCTGGAACATCAGATACCAGTGGTGGAAGCCCTACTTTACCTCCAGCAAGGTCTAGATCCGGTGCTAACCGTGATCAAAGGGATCCCATAGGTGTTAGGACGTCAGGTACCACACCTAGACCTGAAACTCAAGATACTGTACCTCCAGCAAGGTCTAGATCCGGTGCTAACTGTGATCAAAGGGATCCCATAGGTGTTAGGACGTCAGGTACCACACCTAGACCTGAAACTCAAGATACTGTACCTCCAGCAAGGTCTAGATCCGGTGCTAACTGTGATCAAAGGGATCCCATAGGTGTTAGGACGTCAGATACCACACCTAGACCTGAAACTCAAGATACTGTACCTCCAGCAAGGTCTAGATCCGGTGCTAACTGTGATCAAAGGGATCCCATAGGTGTTAGGACGTCAGATACCACACCTAGACCTGAAACTCAAGATACTGTACCTCCAGCAAGGTCTACATCCCAGGCTACCCGTGATCAAAAAGATCCCATAGGTGTTGGAAGACCCAGACCTGAAACCCAGGATATTGTACCTCCAGTCATATCTCAAAGCCCCGATCCCATGCTAGATGACATGCCAGATGCCCCTGTTCCTATCCAGGCGCCTAGAAGATCTCAAGAATCCGGGAGATTCAGAGAATCCTCTTCGATTCAAGCTTCAGAAAAACCCTATTGGCAGGTTCTGCAGGAGCAGGATCCTCATCAGATGGTTGACGACGACGAAGAGGATCAGGATAGATACTACAGAGACCGATTGGAAGGTCGCTGGGATGATCACAAAGATCTTTATCGAGATGAGGAGGATCGATCTGAGCAGTCGTCAAGATCCGAAGGTTCAGGATCTTCCGACGAAGAGCCACCACCAGCTGCGTACGAACCATTTGAGGTGGAGAGGCCAGACTCGCCGTCGTGGCGTCAGAGAGCCGCCGCCCAAGCCTTGCCGTCCAAGAAGGCAAAGGTTCGGAAGATCAAGAAGGGCTCTAGGGACATCCCATCAACGTCAGGGGGTGCTTCAGAAGGCTCGGACGATGAAGATCAGGAAAGAACCCCAAAGAAGATTCGAAGGATCGAGAAGAATGATTCAAGGGATCCTCCAGACTACGACGATGACGAAGATGACCTGGGAAGGATCCCAAAGAAGGCTCGAAGGATGCATTCATCAGCTAGACCTCCACCATCCGACGACGACGACGATGACCAAGTGACACCTCCGAAAAAGGCTCGAAAGGTCCAGAAGACCCCAAGAAGAAGTCCGACACCAGAAGACGTTGAACCAGAAGACGTCCGGCCAGAAGACGTTGGATTAGAAGCATTCGGAGATTCGGATGACAGGATTCGGGTGATGCTGGAAGTCGAGTCAGGCAACGATAGTGACTACGATGAAGCGGAAGATCGTGCCCTCTGGGATGAGCCCAATAAGCGAGAGTGAGTTTATTTTTTTTTATTTTTTGAAATATTTGAAATGGGGGTACTGTAGTCCATAATGAGGATACTGTAGCTCAAAATTGGAGATTACTGTAGGTGTCTGTAGATGACTGTAGGTCCTGTAGATAGGGATACTGTACTGCCTAATAGAGATACTGTACAGCCTGATAAAGACACTGTAACTCAAAATGGGGATACTGTAGCTCTCATCTCGAGATACTGTAGTCCATAATAGGGATACTGTGTCTCAAAATTGGGGTACTGTAGCTCAAAATAAAGAAGCTGTGGCTGAGAATGGGGATACTGTAACTCAAAATGGGCATACTGTAGCTCAAATGGAGATACTGTAGCTCAGGATACTATAGCTCAAAATTGGGATACTGTAGCTCAAAATTGAGGGTTACTGTAGCCTAAAATTGGGGATTACTGTAGCTCAAAATTTAGGATTACTGTAGCTCGAAATGGAATACTGTATTACCTAATGGGATACTGTAATCCAAAATAGAGATACTGTAGCTCAAAATTGGGGATACTGTAGCTCAGGATACTGTTGCTAAAAATGGAGACACTGTACTATCTATAGAAGATACTGTAGTCCATAATGGGATACTGTAGGTCAAAATGGGGGGGGGGGTGCTGTAGCTCAGGATACTGTAGCTCAAAATAGGGATATCGTGGCACAGAATGACTAGGGATACTGTAGTATGGGGAAATTATGGATCTCACCTCGGGATACTGTAGCTCAAAATAGGGATACTGTGGATCAAGAAGGGAGGATTACTGTAGCTCAAAATTGAATACTGTACTGCCTAATGGGGATCATGTGACTCAAAATGGGGATACAGACGCTCTATAGCAAGGGGGGTACTGTACTGCTTAATAGATGTACTGTACAGCCTGATAAAGATACTGTAGCTTAAAATTGAGGATTACTGTGGCTCCAAATGGGAGGATTACTGTAGCTCACTCAATTTGAGATTTGAAAATTTTGGGGAACCAAAATGGACTAAAATTAGGGGTAAATGGACCCGAAATTTGCACTGAAAATAGACCTAAATTGACCCGGGGATACTGTAGCCCAAAAAAAGGATACTGTAGCTCTAACCTCGGTCTCTTACACAGCCCGAAATCCAACAGAAACACATGATGATACTGATCCTCGGTCTCGCGTCCGATACAAAAATGCGACGGTTTAATGTCGCGATGAATGAAGCCATTGCGGTGGAGGTCGCGAATCGCCGTCAGCGTCTGTTCGGCCAAATGGAGTCCGGTGGCGATGCTGAACTTGCGATCCTTGTTCACGTTGTGCATCAGGTCGAATAGATTGTCGCCGTACTGAAAATATGGAATGCAGGATAAGAAGGCGTGGTTTTGGAGGGGTCTAAAGAGGTCTAGAAGGGTCTAGAAGGGTCTGGAAGAGTTTGGAAGGGTCTAGGAAGGTCTCAAAAGGTCTAGAAGCTTCTAGAAGGTTCTGGAAGGATCTGGATATTTATAGAAAGGTCTAGAAGCTTCTAGAAGCGTTTGGAAGCATTCAGAAGGTTCTAGAAGGGTCTGGAAGGATCTGGACAGTTCTAGAAGGCTATGCGAACTCGTGGAATATGCGTTAGCTAGCTAAAGAACATTCATATCGTATTTGCCTCATCAGAAATCGGGCAGGATCTCTAGGATCTTGAAAATCCAGGGCACTAGGATCTTTCTCCGACGCCTTCCAGAAAGATTCAGAATCTCTGGAAGCATCTGGAAGCATCTGGAAGCGTTCTAGGAGCATTCTTGGACATCTTAGGATCTTACAGAAAATACTAGACCCCACCAGCAGACTCAAAACAGTTCTAGAAGTCTCTAGAACATTCTAAGAGCATCTGGAAGCGTCTAGAAGCATCCACACGGATCTACAATGCTCTACAAGGCTTTAGAAGGTTCTTGAAGGTTCTAGAGCCCACAGAAACATGTGGAAGGTGTCTAGAAGCAGCTAGGAACGGGTTCTAGAAGTTTCTGGAACTCTCGGAAACTTCTGGAAGCGTTTTAGACATTCTAGTCACTTCCAGAAAGATACCCTGAGATCTAGAACCATCTAGAACCACCTGGAAGCACCTGGAAGCACCTGGAAGCTTCTAGAAGCACCAGAATCTTATGAACGTGTCTATGATCTTTGAGATCCTTCTAGAACTTCCTTCTAGAACTTCCTTACCAATGGCATGACGACGAACAGGAAGCGTTGAGGTACGGTACCACGCTCCTCGATGGTCGCGAAGAACGGTGATGGGTAGTGAATCGACGCGAGCACCACCGACATTTGGCGGAGTAGCTGGAAGCAAAAAGATTGGGACATCTGGACATCTGGACACACTTACCGAACTCTTCATATTCAACGATTCGCACTTGACGGCGAACAACTTCCCGTCGCTCTCTCGTTTCGCCTTATAAATCGATCCGAACGTTCCGGTGGCTAACGGTTTTGTGACCTCGTAGACGCCATTCTGAGCTCGGATGAGCTCTTTTTGGGGCGCTGCCGCAGCTGCTGCAGCCATTTGGAGCTCTTTCTGGAAACTTTGAGAAGAAACTCGGCTGAAAAGTTCCCAGCTGGCTGAAAAACAATCCAGCTCTGGAAACCTGGAAAATCGATAATTAGAGCAGGGAATTGGGAAATGAGTTGGCAGGATTTATTAGATTTATTAGGCAATCAGCAAATTAAAAAAAATATACAGGATAAGAATCGCGTGAAGGCAGCAGCTAAAGCAGCTAGCTATGGGCATACAGTACTCTCGAAGCCTTTCGACTCGAGTTGATAGAAATTTGTAGTGTATTTGAGGAGCTTAAAATTGGTCTTCGACTTGATACATGTATAATTTCGGGGAGCATTGCACATGTAGGCACCCGGGCAGACCAGACGGCTTGTCGTGGAGGTGTAGTAGGTGGCGTAGGATTTGGAGCACTGGATGATGGTCTCGTTGCGGAGGCGAGCAAGGATCGATGCGATTTTCGGGGTGGAGATGGTTCTGGAAATTGAGATTTTTCGTTGGTTTTTGGAAGCTACAGTACCCGGGATGCCCAAAGACCCAATACCACTACAGTACCCCAAAGCCATGAAGCCTCTAGAGCTCTCTATGATGATTTTGACTTGTCTAGTTGCTTCTGGAAGATTCTGAGATAGTCTAGAAGTATCCACAAGCTTCTGGACGCTTCTAGAAACTTTGGCTACTAGAATTTTGGGATCTACAGTACCCCCAAAACCCTATAGAGCGCTCTTTTTGAGTTTGCAGTAACTTCTGAACACGTTCAGAAGGCTGTGGAACCATCTGGGAGGTGCCTAGAAGCATCTGACGACCTCCGGAATCGTCAAGAAGGTTCTAGACGGGTCTAGAACGCTCTGAAGTATTTTAAAGGACCTAGGAGTCTTCTAGAATCATCTAGGATAGCTTTAGAAGCCTCCTTAAGCTTCTAATCGCTTCTAGAAGCTACCACAGAGTTTTGGAATTTATGACATTTTGAAGCTTCATGAAGGACCTTTCTAACCACGAGGGTTTGAAGAGCTACAGTACCCCAAGATCCTCTTAAGCGCTGTATCATGATTTTGACTCATCTAGCTGCTTGTAGAAGACTCTGAAGGCTCTGGAACCATCTAGAAAGTGCCTCGGAGACTCTGAGATGACAGAGAAGAGATTCTGGAACCTTTCGAAACTTCTGGAAGCATAGGAGCTTCCAGGATAATCTCGGCCGCTTCCAGAAGGACTTCCAGGGTTCGAAGGATCTAGAAGCATTACGAAAATCCTTGAACTATCAAATGATAATAGATGGACGCATAGAACCCAAAAAGTCGTAAATATCTTCATCTACAGTACTCCTCTATATCTAGAATAGCTTTTGAAATCCTCTAAAAGTCATCTAGATCGTGAAGAATGTTCTAGAAGCATCCTAGAGCGTCTTCGGGAGACATCTAGAACTTTCGGGCTCTAGAGCCTGCTTCTCGAACAATCTAGGGGGGGGGGGGGTCTAGAACCTTCTGGAGGACCCGGATATTGTTAGAAGCACCTCAGAAGCTTCTAGAAGTTCTAGCGACGTTTTAGAACCTTCTAGATGCTCTTGGAGCTTTCTAGATGATCGTTGGGTCCAGGGTTCTAATTTGGGATGGTTCTAAAACGGCTAGTACCTAGGAATTTGGGGGAAAAATCAACAATGACGGACCTCCATCTGCCCGGGCCGGCCCGTTTGCAACTATGATTTCAAATAACTTCCGCAAAAATGTTTTGCTCCTTGCAGGCTCACAAAAGCCAAGCTCTATCCGGGTAAAGAGCGCGACACGGACGTTCTACCTCGCGCCGAAATGATCAAATGCGACTTCTATCGAAACGACGCCGGTACTTCTTCATGACACTGCCACGTCTTCCGATAGTAGCTCAGAAGACTGCAACCATTGGACCACTACCAGAGGACTATCGAGACTTTCCGGACAAAATCAGCGGCTGGTTTGAGATGGCCGAGAAGCGATTGAAGAAGAAACGTGGGTTTGGAAGGGGATTCTAGAAGGCTCTAGATTCCGGGAAACCCTTCTGGAAACTTCTAGAATGTTCAGAATGCTTCCAGAAACTTTCGGAACATTTTCGAAAGTTCTAGAAGCAGCTAGATGGGTTACTGTGGTCCAAAGGCTTCTGAGCTATCTTAGATGCTTCTAGACACCTCCTAGATGGCTCCAGAGCCTTTTGAAAGATTCTGAAATTTTACCGAAGTTCAAAATTCTGGGATAGTCTATCCTATTCTGGATAGGCGATCCTAGAGGTCTCCAGATGCTTGTAGGCATGATCTTGGGGTACTGTAGATTATTCCAGGATTCTCTGCGTCTCTCTGATGTCCCTTATGTTTTCACCATGGTTTTTGGACTTTTCGATTGTGGCACTTCTGGAATACTGTAGATTTTGAAACAATTTTTCGAGGTGATACTATCAAAAATTGCTATGAGGCCTACAGTATCCCAAAAGTGCCATAATCGAAAAGCCCTACAACCATAGGGGGGAAAATGAAGGATATCTAGGATCCTGGATAATCTACAGCATCCCAAAACCACTCAATGCGCATCTAGAGACCTCCAGGACCTCCTGTCCCAGGGCTTTGAGCTTCCGGAGGCTCTTGAACCATCTAGAAGATGTCTAGACGCATCTAGGATACCTCAGAAGCGTCCTGAAGCTTTTGGACTACAGAAACCCATCTAGCTGTTCTATAGCAAGCTAGATGCGTTCTAGAAGTTCTAGAAGCAGCTAAGATGGGTTACTGTAGTCCAAACGCTTCTGAAGGCTTCTGAGCTATCTCAGATGCTGCTAGATACCTCCTAGATGGCTCCAGTGCCTTCTGAAGGATTCTGAAAGTTTTCCGAAATTCGAAATTCTGGGATTGCCTATCCTATCCCGGATACGCGATCCTAGAGGTCTCCAGATGCTTGTAGGGCAGTGTCTTGGGGTACTGTAGACCTTTTTCAAGATTCTCTGCGTCTCTCAGATGTCCCTTCACTATGGTTGTAGGACTTTTAGATTTTGGTACTTTTGAGATACTGTAGATTTTGATATAGTTTCGATAAAAACTGCTTTAAGATCTACAGTACCCCTAAAAGTACCATAATCGAACAGCCCCGAATTTCGTAGTGATAAGATAAAGGATATCTAGGATCTTGAAACTTCTACAGTACCCCAAGACCACCACTACTAGTGAGAACTCCATGATAGTTTGTCCCAGGGTTTTGAGCTTCCGGAGGCTCTGGAACCATCTAGAAGATGTCTAGAAGCATAGCACAGAAGCCTCCTGAAGCGTTCGGACTACAGTAACCCATCTAGCTAATTCTAGGACGTTCAAAAAAGGTTTTAAAAGTTTCTGCAACCTCTGGAACGTTCTAGACACTTCCAAAGGTTCCTTTTCCCGGGATCTAGAACCTCTGGGAATCCTTGGAAGCTTCTAGAAGCACTGAGAAAGTTCTGGAAACTTCTAGACGCTACCAGAAAGGATTTCCTGGGATCTGGAACCTCTAGAAGCATCTGGAAGCTTCTAGAAGGACAGGAGAGAGCTCTAATCCTTATCTACAGTAACCCCTTTTCTTCCAGCTGACTGGCCATCGCACAAAAAGCGATATCCATGTGTGTGGTGTGACTGGTCGTTCGACGCCACCGTCAAACTCGCCAAACATCGATACGTCCATCGAAATATTGGCGTCTTTGCGTGTCAAGTGTGCTTGACACTGTTTAATCATCACTACAATTTGTATCAGCACTGGCGGATGTCGTGTACACCAGTCACCAAGAGTAAATCCGATCATGAGATGAAGGTGAGAGTGTGGGCCGAAATCGGGCCAAAATTGCATCGAAAACAGGCAAAAAATCCATCAAAAACTGGCCAAAAGCAGGCCGAGAACGGACCAGAAACGGACCACAACTAGACCAGAGCCAGATCAAAAACGGGTCAAAAACTGGCCAAAAACGAACCATTCTATAGCTTCCTTCAGCCTGAATAGTTTCGAACCAACTGAATTGGATATGATAGAAGAACTCAAGAACTACAAAATGCGACTACTTGGGTTACTGTATCTTGTCTATGAACAAAGTTATAAGCCAAAAACCACCCGAGCTAGGCGGTCGATTTTTTTGGCTCTTTGTAACTTTGCTCATAGACAAGATACAGTATTCCAAATAACAACATGTTGTAGTTNTTGAGTTCTTCTATCATATCCAATTTAGTTGGTTCGAAAATATTGATCCTGAAGGGAGCTATGGCAGAACTTTGATCGTAATTGGAAGATTTTGAAAATTTGCCAATTTTCGAGAAAACTAACTTCTTCAGCTTTTCTCCAAAATTCAAAAAACCTAGATTTTTGAGTTTGCCTCGCCATGAGCTTCAAAATGAGTATAAACACGACTAGATTCAGATGATTTTGATGTTCGCCCTTGGACCATGCGCCTTTAAAGTGGAAAACTCGAATATTTCAGAAACATGTCGTGTTTAGGCTCATTTTGAAGCTCAAGACGAGGCGAATTCAAAAATCTATGTTTCAAAAATCTATGATGCAAAATTTGAAAAGTTAGGGACCAAATGAAATTTGCCAAAATGCGCTAAAATCAAAATCTTCCAAATTTGATCTTTTTAGGCTCATTTTGAAGCTCTGAACATGAGGAATTCAAAAATATTGTTCTCAAAAAATGACATTGATTTGAAATCAGGTCTGAGGCTGATTTTCAAATAGAAAAGGGCCAAAAAATATCGAGAGTGTAGCTCGGATGGTTTTTATGAGCCGAAATCGGGCCAAAATTGGGCAAAAACGGACCAGAAACGGTCCCTACCATAGCTTCCTTCAGCCTGAATATTTTTGAACCAACTAAACTGGATATCATAGAAGAAATCAGAAACTACAAAATTCGACTACTTGGGTTACTGTATCTTGTCTATGAGCAAATTTACAAAGAGCCAAAAAAGAATGCACCGCGTAGCTCGGGTGGTTTTTGTCTTGTAACTTTGTTCATAGACAAGATACAGTAATCCAAGTAGTATCACTTTGTAGTTCTTGTGTTCTTCTATCATATCCAATTCAGTTGGTTCAAAACTATTCAGGCTGAAGGGAGCTATGGAAGGGACCGTTTTCGGTCCGTTTTTGACCGTTTTTTTGGCTCATTTTTTAAAACCATCTTTCATGAATTTTGGACCATCTTTGGCTCATGTCTGACTTATTTTCGACCATTTTTAGCTCATTTTTGGACCCATTTTCGGCCCGTTTTTGACTATTTTTGGCTCATTTTTCATGAATTTTCTACCATTTTTCATGAATTTTGGACCATTTTTCATGAATTTCGGACCATTTCCAATAAATTTTCTACCATTTTTCATGAATTTTGGACCATTTTTCATGTATTTTGGACCATTTTTCATGAATTTTGGACCATTTTTCATGAATTTTGGACCATTTTTCATGAATTTTGGACCATTCCTAATGAATTTTCTACCATTTTTAATGAATTTTGGACCATTTTTATAGATTTTTTAAAAATCATTTTTGACCATTTTAGTCGGTTTTTGGATCATTTTTGGCCGAATTTAGATCATTTGTTGCCTAATTTAGACCATTTTTGGCTCATTTTAGACATTATTTCATGAATTTTGGGCAATTTTTCATGAATTTTGGGCCATTTCCAATAAATTTTCTACCATTTTTAATGAATTTTAGACCATTTTTTGCTCATTTTTGACCATTTTCGGACCCATTTTTCAAATATATTTTATTTTCCAGAACATTGATATTTCAACAGTTCGAAACTATGTGCTCTGCGCCATGGGCACCGAGAATCGCGCGCAATCGTACCACGTCTTCGGAGGCGTCTTTTTTATCCCTTCTCAATGGTTTTTGGATACGAAATACAATGTGATCGACCCCCATGAACAGAACGACTGTCATTTGTGTCATTTGGCGGTGCCGACGAAATTTCTCGAGTGTCATGGAGACGTTCATCGTGGACGGTTCAGAATTGACGGGAAGATTTATGGAGACTATTTTTGTCATATTTGTGGCAAGATTTTTAGGTGGGTTTTGGAGCTACAGTAGTCCTACAGTAATCCGACTTTTGGAACATTTGAAAATTGGCTTTGAAACACTCTAGCTAGCTACCGCGGAGATATCCTACAGACTGTAGGCTACAGTCTGACGTTTCGAAATTTCTAAAAGTTTTGAAAATTTCGAATTTTCTGAAATTCGAAAGTTCTGGGATTTTAAAATCGAGGATTTTGAAAACTACAGAAGTTTTGAAATTTTGAAAATTTCGAGTTTTCGAAAATTGCACAATTCGAAATTTCCTACAGTAATCCAACGTTTCCGACATTCTGAAACTTTCGAAAATCGGAAACTTTCAAACTTTTTCCTACAGTAATCCGACGTTTCGAAATTTCTAAAAGTTTTGAAAACTTCGAAAATTCTGAAATTCAAAAGTCGAGGATTTTGAAAACTTCAGAATTTTTGAATTTCAGAATTTTGGAATTCTGAGAATTTCGAATTTTCTCAATTTCGAAGATTCTGAGATTTCCAAAAATTCGAATTTTTGAAATTTTCTGACTCTAGCTAAGCGGAGATACAGTAACCCGACATTTCCAAAATTCTGAAACTTTCAAAAATTCGAAACTTCCTACAGCAATCCAACGTTTCGAAATTTCTAGAAGTTTTGAAAATTCGAAACATTTGAAATTCAAAAATCGAGGATTTTGAAATTTCCTACAGTAATCCGACGTTTCGAAATTTCTGAAAATTTCGAAAAATCTTAAATTCGGAAATTCGAATTTTTGAAATTTTCAAAAATTCTGGAATTTCTGAATTTTTCAAAATTTTCGAATTTCAGAATTTTTAGCAATTTTTAGCAAAATTCGAACTTCGAAAATTCAGAAATTTCAAATTTTGAAAATTTCAGAGTTTTCAAAAAATTTGAACTTTTGAAACTTCCTACAGTACTTCCTACGAATTTCTGAAAATTCTGAAATTTTCGAATTTTTAGGATTTTCGAAAAAAATTCTGAATTTTTCAAAAATAGAAAAATTCAAAAATTCTGGAGCTTTTGAAAAGTCCAATTTTTGAAAATTTCAGAATTTTCAAATTTTTTCATAACTCTGGATTACTGTAGGATTACTGTAGGAAGTTTTGAATTTTTCAAAAATCCAAAATTTCTCTCCAGAAGCCGCTGCACCCTACTGGAACACTGGCGTTTGGATTGTCCAGAAGTCGTCTACTACCTTCCAGAAGACGTCGCCCTAGACGACGAAGAGCTTGTCGGCTTCGCGTGGCTCATCCTCCAAATGGCGATTGCTCATGATAAAATTCTGATAATGGCGAAAAATTCGAGTTTGGCACTGGAAAAATGGGCTCATAGGCATGCGAAAGAGAACAATATGATTTATTTGCTGGATCGATACTATCATTATCCCCAGGAGCTATGGCCACTGAAGCTGGAGACTGGAGAGGATATCATTAGAGATGCGATCCCGATTTTTGGGACCAGAGCTTTTTTGAGAAGTATTAATGGAGAAGTGGTTAGTGATAGCCTATTACTGATAGGAGGAAAAAGTGCTGAAAATTTGGCTGAAAATTCGAAAAAAAACATTTGGCTGAAAATGACCGATTTTTGGCTGAAAATTCCAAAAACATTTGGCTGAAAATGACCTATTTTTGGCTGAAAATTCCAAAAAAATTTGGCTGAAAATGACCGATTTTTGGCTGAAAAATCGCAAAAAATTTGGCTGAAAATGACCAATTTTTGGCTGAAAATTCCAAAAAAAAATTGGCTGAAAATGACCGATTTTTGGTTGAAAAATCGCAAAAAATTTGGCTGAAAATGACCGATTTTTGGCGAAATTTAACAGAAAAAATTGTGAAAATTGGACCCAAAAATCGTTTTTTTTTTCTATGGAATTTTGATTTTTTCAGGTCTTGACCTAGATTTTTTCAGGGAATGACCTAGATTTTTTCAGGGAATGACCTAGATTTTTTCAGGGAATGACCTAGATTTTTCTAGGCCGTGACCTCGATTTTTTTAGGTCATGACCCAGGTTTTTCTAGGTCATGACCTAGATTTTTTCAGGGAATGACCTAGATTTTTCTAGGCCGTGGCCTCGATTTTTTTAGGTCATGACCTAGTTTTTTCTAGGTCATGACCCAGGTTTTTCTAGGTCATGACCTAGATTTTTTTAAGGCCATGACCTCGATTTTTCTAATGGCCTAAATTTTTCTAGGTCATGACCCGGATTTTTAGAATTTGAACTTCCAAATATTGGAAAATTGGAAATACAAGGATTTCAAAATTCCCAGAAAATTCCAATAAAAAAAATACTGAAATTAATTGAAAATTCTGAAAAAAAACTGAAATCCCAGAAAATACGAAAAATCGGAAATTTTCAGCTTGAAATTCTGAAATTTTTCATCAATGTTTTACCATTTTAATCAGTCGAAAACTGATAATTTTCGGAGAATTTTTTTTTGGATTTTTCTCCAGCATTTTCTGCATTTTCTGAAAAACTGGAAAACCGAAAAATCTGAAAATCTGGAAAATGAAAATTTCAGAAAGTTTGTTTTTCAGACCCTCTACAATCCGGATATCGCCGTGCACATTGCGAATCTCATCGCCACCGCCTGTCCAGATTTCTACGCAACCGGCGCCGTTTTTACGGAAATTTTGGGTTGCGAAAGTAAAACGGAAGCGACGAAAAGCGTGTTTCGCATCGTTTTGAGATATACAACAGCTGGTTCGGTTATTTCGACGGTAGGTGAATTCTAGACCATTTTTCATGGATTTTGGACCATTTGTCATGAATTTTGGACCATTTTTCATGAATTTTGGACCATTTTTCATGAATTTTGGACCATTTTTCATGAATTTTGGACCATTTTTCATGAATTTTGGACCATTTTTCATGAATTTTGAGCCATTTTTCATGAATTTTGAGCCATTTTTCATAAATTTCTGGACCATTTTTCATGGATTTTGAACCATTTTTCATAAATTTCTGGACCATTTTTCATGGATTTTGAACCATTTTTCATAAATTTCTGGTCCATTTTTCCATGAATTTTGAGCCATTTTTCCATGAATTTTGGACCATTTTTAATGAATTTCGGATTGTTTAATCCAATTTTTGACATCTAAAAATTCTGTAAATTCCATAATTTTCAGTACAAAATCAATCTGCGCACATGTCCATCGCTTCGTGTCAGTCGTCCACCGAATCTTAGCAGATCCCCAGGGGACTACAATGTGGAAGAGGACTTTACGGCGCATTTCGAAGAATCTCGAAAAATGTCGACAACTGATAAGAACAATCAGGACTACACATGGTCGTGTGTGGGACGAATGCGCGATCAGCTTCAACGGAATAATTGGTTGAAGAGGGACGCGTTGGAGTATACGTGCAGGATTTGTAGGAAAATGTAAGAGCTTCAATTTTGGAATTTTTGGGAAATTCTGATTTTTGGGGTTTTCCGACTCTAAAAATCAAATTTCTTGTTTTTTCTACCAAATCTTTGAATTCCTTAATTTTCGAATTTTTCAGATTTTAAAATTTCTGGTTTTTTGGAATTTAAAGAAAAATTTGAAAAATTTGGAGATTTCCGAATTTTCGAAGTTTTCAATTTTCCGAATTTACGATTAGATTTTGAGATTTATAAATTTTCGAATTTCAAATACTACGGGTTTTTGGAATTTTCCGGTCGGTGTTTTTAAGATCCGAATGTTCAAACTACAGTAATCCAATCGAAATTATATTTTCCTGAATTTTTCGATTCTTTTTGACTCTAAAAATCGAAATTTCTAGTTTTGAAATTTCCGGTTTTTTTTTCAGAATTTTTAGAATTTTTCAAATTTTGAGATTTCAGAACGTTTTCAGAATTCGAAATTTCTGAGTTTCCGAATTTCTATGCGAACCAAACTACAGTAATCTGTGATCGAAGTTCCTGAATTTTCAAATTTCTGAAATTTTGATTTTCAAAAATTCCGGATTTTCAGAACTTCTGATTTTCTGATTATTTGAAACGGTCCTTAAAGATTTCCGAATTTCAGAATTTCCTGGTATCTTTCAGATTCAATTTTTCGAACTACAGTAATCCAATCGAGATGGAAACGTCTTATTTTATCTCAAAAGTTCAGGAATTTTGAAATTATCCAACTTGGAGAAAATCTGAAAAAAATACAAATTCAGAAATCTCAAAATTTCGGAAAATTCGAAAAATCACCAATTTAGCAAATTCCGGCAATGTGCAAAAACCGGTTTTTCTGATATTGGTGCCTCAGGATTTAGAGATCTCTGAATTCAGATTTTTTCGAGAACTCTAATTTTCTTGAAGTAAGATACCGTAAAACCTGTATTACAAGGGCCCCTTTAATGGAGGACACCTCTAATAGAATTGCCCTCCGAGAGGGGCTTGGAAAAAATAGAAAGGGCCGACTCTTCTAATACAGTTTTTATGGTATTTCAAAAATCACACATTCCAGCCTCGGTCAACGATCAGCCCGCGAGCACTGGATGCTGGAATGTGCTCCACTTGGAATTATTCTTCCCAAAATGCAAGATCGTTCTTATATGGACGAAGGTCTGGAGACGTCGATAGCGAAACAGATGAAAAAAGTCGGAGCGAAAGTTTATATTGATTGGGTACGACGGAAAGAGGAGAGAGCGGATTCGGGGAATTTTCAATCGGTTGATCGAATCGGGGAATACAATAAGACGACGTTCTATTGTTCGGACGCCGGGCTGGAGCAGATTCGGAAGGGGTCGGCGAAGGCGATGAGCAATGCGATGAGAAGATATACGGAGAGATTTACTGCGAAGAAATGCATGGTGTTAGAGACGCAGTCAGCGGTGGTTTGTCCGCATTGTGGTACGGTAGATTTAAAAGTAGGAATCCAGGAATCCAGGAATCTAGATACTTAGATTCTTAGATTCTTAGATTCTTAGATTCTTAGATTCTTAGATTCTTAGATTCTTAGATTCTTAAATTCTTAGATTCTTAGATTCTTAGATTCTTAGATTCTTAGATTCTTAGATCCTTAGATCCTTAGATCCTTCGATCCTTAGATCCTTCGATCCTTAGATTCTTAGATTCTTAGATCCTTAGATCCTTAGATTTGTTTGGAATCAATTCCAGATCGCCAACGACGATGAACCATTGCCCATCGTCCGTCAACGCGGTCGTCACGACAACACCGATCCATCAGAAGAGACCCTAGAATCCATGCAACAACGTCTTCAACACCGTCGTCAGGAGAAGAAGAAGCATCGAGAGAT